GGAACATCGTGGGAACGTCGGTTGTTCTACGAACGTACGTTGTTCTTCGTCGTCGTACGCGCACGGGAAAATCGCCGCCGCGTTCGCATGCGCTCTAGCACCTGATAACGTGATGAGCACGCTCGCTGGTTATCGGCAGACGCCCAGCAGGAGGCTGCAGCAGTGTATAACGGATTGCGCGTTCGCAATGCGCGCCGATCAATAACTCGCGAACATGTAGCAAACCAAACCGCAACCGCAGCGCTACCGTTTGCCGCGCGGCGAGTGCGCATGCGCCGGCCGCGCACCGACTCTCATTAATATAAAGTGCTGGAAATAGCGCATATGGTGTTAAATAATTCATCGACTGTGTGCGGCATTTCATGCGCATGCGAGCGAGTGTACGAAGAATGTGTCGCCAGCCGCAGCGATATACGATGTCACGCGAAGCGATCAAGTGGGATGGGAGGGGGGGGCGAATTTATTACAGGCCAGAAGGGATGGCGGCGATTGCTGCGACAGAAAATGTAAACTGTTTTTTTTTCCTGGAAGCCCAACTTATACATGTCATTGAAAGAAAGCGATGCATTACATGCAAAATAAAATTTTTACGTGGAATAATCACGCACACACGCACGCACAGATACACGCACACACATACGGACAAACTAAATAAAATATATGTCACAGCTTTGGTCAAGTTCGAAACGGCATGGGACGGGTGGTTTGTAGCGGGTACGACTGTTACATAAGTGCGTGCGTGCGTGCGTGCGTGCGTATAATGGTGACGTTGGTCCAGACTATAACAAGCTCCTGCATGTAGACGATTGCGGTTTATAGACTTCAACTTTAAAATTGCCAATTTTGCCGCGTATCTGACAACTAAATAAAATTAGCCAGCCCCACGTTCTTGTCGTTATGAGCTAGAATCACCTATTGCCTGCCCGTATAGCTGGCAGCTGACATGCAGGTATATACAAGATGGCAGCCGTGCATGTATCCTCGTTAAATGGTTCTGGTGTGCCAATACTAGAGAAATACTGCTGCCGTTGCTGCTGCTGCTGATGCTGCTGCTGCTGCTGATGCTGCTGCTGCTGCTGCTGCTGCTGCTGCTGCTGCTGCTGTTGCTGCTGCTGCTGCTGCTGCTGCCATACTACGTCTATCACGAAGTTATGTGAAATAAGGAACGGTTTGCTGATTTTTTTGACAATATGTCGTGTTATGTGTATTTTTCTATTTTTTGAGTAATGCAAGGTATCGCCTACAGTATCGCTTGTTTGTCTAGCAAGGAAAGGTACGGTGTATTACCACCAAGCGGCAAACCGTTCTAGTGGGGAAAATTTGGCGCGACCGCGACGACGCGTCTGTGTGCGTGCGTGTGTGCGTGCGTGGGTGCGTGCGTGGGTGCGTGGGTGCGTGGGTGCGTGCGTGGGTGTGAGCGTTTGTGTGCGTGAGCGTTTTTATGCGTGTGCGCGTGTGTGTATGCAGCATAGCATGCACTAATTGCAGACTTACCAATTTACGACGCAAATTATTCAGCTAGGTTTGCGATTAAGATGGAGGTAATGAGTTGACGCAAATTGGAAAATCAAGGAAGGCATGTCGACAAGCGTGAGAGAAAATACACATTAATTGCATGGAAAGCATTTGCCTGCCAGACACCGTGACTGCCGTTGATCTACGCGCGACGTGTGAGCTAACAAGACAGCCTGTCTGCTGTGTCTGACTGATTAATTATTCGACAGATGTACGCATCTATCATTACAAGATCAATTACCGCATTAATTACGCGACAGGCGTCTTTTAATTAATAGGCCCCCTATTTATTTATGAAAATGTGCATTTTTGATTTTTTGCAGTGGATGTGCAAATATATAATATGTAGACGTGTTTACCGCCTCTACCGTCATAATGGTGTTACTCCGACAACACAGCACGGCAAATAAGTGTAATAAATAAATAATCGTACATAGTAATTGTTATGTCAACCTTCTTTCGCGTCCGCGTTGCGATTGTATATGTTGTAATATGTATACTAGCTTATGACAAGCATAGTCGTGTTTCTGTGTGCTTGTGCGTCTGTGTGCGTCTGTGTGTGTGTGTGTGTGTGTGTGTGTGTGTGTGTGTGTGTGTGTGTGTGTGTGTGTCCGTACGTGCGTACGTACGTGCGTGTGTGTTGTAGATATTAACATATATAGTAACTAGACAACTCGAGGCGATGCGTCACTAGCAGCAGACGCTGTAATCACGTTAAACATTTCACACTGATCGCAGCAGCTGACAGCGAGCATTTCAGCGCCGGCTAGCGCTATATACGGATCAACGTTGAAATGGCTCTCGTTTTAACGAGAACGTTTTTAGACCTATGTGCGGCACTGCTGGTAATTTTTAATTGCGAAAACTTCGTTAGTCGCATGACGCTACGAACCGCACCGCAGCGGCAGTCCAGCCTACTCATAATGAATGCTATCAAATATCCTGCCAACCACAATCCCGACCGACTTCTGTATAGCCTGTTTGATCCTAGTTCCAGGGTTACGTAAAACACGCAGCCGACAATGTTGCGTACGCATGAAATTGGCAGCGTCGACTGAATTTCGAGCTCCATATTGCGCTTGTTTGCGCTATAAACAACGTACTGCTGGCGACTCCCTCCTCGCCATCGCTTTGTAGAGCGCTCTGAAGTATCTCCGACATAAAACGTTTAACCAAACAAATATTAGGTTATCTCGCTATCGGAGCGCCAGGCATGTGGCCGCGGCGACTCGCACAAATATGTGATCAGGGAGGGAGGGCGGGTGGATGGGTGGGCGGAGGGGGGAATCCTGTTACATGCATATAGTAGCGAATTAACATTCGCCCATGAATTCCGCATCGTTACGAAGCGCAAACTTCGTTTTGGTGGATGCATAGCTGATTGCCGATATAAGCACCCTGGCGAGGTGGTAAATCAACGCAAATACCAGGCGCTACCACGTTTCGTATCGCGTTTCGGCGACTCTAGCTTATTTTGCTTCGGCGCTGGCAAAAGGTGGTTGAAGTGCTTACGCATCCGGCAAGCTGCTGCTGCTTCTGCGACGGCTTTTTTTTCCACCACCAAGAGGGCCTTCGATATATACATTAGCGTACAGCACGCGACTAAGTCGCTCAAGCTTTTCGGGTTTGGTAAGCTAATACTCCGTAGCAATGAGAGCAGGGAATTTCCTATAGCTTGCGTGTAATTCGAGACCGAGCGCCAACTACCTTCAGCAGAACTGATGATCCTTTGCCCTGATGGGAACCGGTGAAGGATAAACGACGGGGGGGAAGCTGGTTGGCTGCTTTACGAGCAGACGAACGTATAATATCGTCGAATGACATCAGGTTGCAGTTATCCGGTATATTACGGCGAGGGACACGTTGTTAAAAATACTCTACTTGTTATAAATGTTCTAGCTAAGGTATCATGAGTCTATATGATGTATCTAATATAATTCTGACGCATGAAATCTTGTGAAAACGTCAAGACAATCATCAGAATACCAGTGATGTCCATGTGTTAGTTAGAGCTTCGATATCATAATTTCCAATGGACGGAGAATTTATTAGAAAGAGAAGAGGGTTCCAACTGCGAGAGAAAGGCAGAGAAAACGGCAGTCAAGTTGTTCTCCTGCTAGTTGTAGCCGCAGAAGGAAACATTCGCATAACCACCCTCGCCGCAATGCGCATGCGCGATGTGATTCATAACAACCCGTGCGAGACCATAGATATCTATATACATATATACATCTTGATATATACATATACAACAAATACATGTGTTAGTATAATAGATATCTATGTGCGAGACGACCAGAGCAGATATTTAGGATTAACAGAGCAACGTTTTGAGATGTTCGAGCGTGTTCAGTTGAGAAGAATTTTACGGTTATTTCCGGAAGCGAAGAGAACGAAAGACGTCCCTCGAGAGCGTGCCCTCTATACACTCCACCGCCTTCGTGCGTAGACGGGCTTTCTGTGGGATTACGAATTCGATAACGGGATCGCGTTAAAAATAAATTGGATTTTTGAAAAGGTTGCTGGCGTCTTGTTTTCGTAGTTGTATTTAGATCGGCGAGCTAAATGCTGCTTTCAAGTGCATGCTGTCTAACACAGCCGTGCAAAAACATTCGAAGGCCATTCATGCTCTCTCTCTCTCTCTCTCTCTCTCTCTCTCTCTCTCTCTCTCTCTCTCTCTCGGCGATATACAGAGAGTGTGTCCACCGCTTTATGTGACTGCA